TCTTGGACTATTTTTTCATTAAAATAATACCACTTGATGATCTTGAGATAATTTATAAATGTGGCTTAACCCATGGTAAGAAAAAGTTTTAAATCTTTTATTAGAATGCAGATTGAGCCAGTCATCCTGTTTCCTGACAGAACTTCTGCAGTGAGAGAAAGGGTCAATATCAGTTGTTTTTTTTTTTTTCCAAATATAAGCAATTTAACTGCATAGTTCCTCTTTTAAGGTGAGAGAGGAAACACTAAAACAAAAGATGTCAGACTGAACACTCCATATATTCTACTGCTTATAAATTAGAAGTATATTTATTTATTTTAAAGTTAATTATTTACAGTGATGAACAAGAATTTTCATTGGAAAATACAGATACATAAAATAACATTTAAGAATTTTAATCTAGTAAATTCACAAATAGAAAATAAAGTATTGACATAGGAATCTGAGACTAAATATTTTGTTTGTTGATTTCTTTAGAAGATCCATTAGGTTCACATGCTCTCGTACCTAAATTACATAATCTCTATGCATTTTAGCCAAACAAATTCCAAAGTGTCTCGGGTAATTAGACACAGTTGGCAAAACACCTGTCTCTCCACACTTGATCGCAGTAAAACATAAGTGCAGACTGGAGTCTTAAAAATTAGTTAAGTCTTTAGCATCTTGAAGAATAAAACAAAGTATGATTGTCACACAAAGAAGTTAAATTTTGCAAATAGCTGGTTTTTCCACAATAGTCCTGGAAAACATACACATAAAAGTAAAGCTAAATGAGATGTCTCTCTTTCTGATGTCACTTTAAACTTTCTGTTTTACTTAAATTAGTTAAAGCAGGGTGCACAAGGTGTCTCAACTCAATGTGGGAAATAGGTATCTTTTTCAAGATATGAAACTGCATCTGGATGTTTCGTCTTCTAAAAGTTGGGGTAGATTTGTAAAGAATAACATCAAAATTTCTACAGCCAAACTCCAGAAGGATCTTAAGGAAAAAACAAACCAATTTGGTTCCAACTTAATTGGATGAAATCTCAGAGTAATCTTTGTAGGCTGCATCAAAATTACCCTGGTTACAGCAACACACTATAGCATGGGCGAAGGCTGAATGAAGAGCATTTAGCCTGAGGTTCTTTAAAAAATCACCATAGGTGATATCTAATTTATAGATGATATTCCAAGGTCCCATAATAATTTACAGCATCACTTTATTTCTTGTGAGCATACCTGGGTCCTATTTTCTGTTTTCATGAGCAGTTTTAGTTTATACAACTCAGCTGCACTGATGCTTGCATTCTCGGTCTAGATGCTACCTCAGTTCCAGCTGGTTCAGAAAATTTTCTATCAACTTCAGTGATGACCACTATGTTGTCACATCTTGAATCTACTCACCCCATTTTGGAAGTTTTTCTACACTAGCTCCTATGATTATTAATATTTTTCTGCCCCTTTTATTTTATCTTGATGTTCAATTTTTTTTGCAAATCTAAATATTTTTCTCTTCCTCATTTTTTTTAGTGACCATCAGTTAGCATGTTTGTCTAGCCTACCTGAATGTGCCTTTTTTCTCATATATTCTCAAATATTAGAATCTTTGAACTTCACACACAAAAGACACCTGTACTGGAAATACACTCTCATGTTTCTATCAACACATGTGTGTTTTGACCTATCATCTTATCTCTGAAATTTGTCCATTAGCCCTCATTCCATTTTTTTTTCAGATATGTCATAATCACTGCAAATAAAATTCAGAGGCTTTGAAGTTATCCTAGAATTTTCTTTCATATTGTTTCAAAATGATTAAAAATTTTCACTTAATAATTCTAAAGATATTCAAACATCTCCGTAAGTATTGCTGTTGTCTGAATGTTTGCAGTTTGTCCAAATTTGTGCATTGACATCTGACCACCAAACGTCCGATGTTAAGAAGCAGAGCCTGTGGGAAGTGGTTAGTTACAATGGCAGAGCCTTTCTAATGGGAATCTATTCCTTACAAAACCGATGCCAAAGACACAGGTGTGTCTGCCAACCACGTGCAAGAAAAATGCCATCTGTGAACCAGGAATTAGGCCACCACGAGACCCTGACTGGTCTCCACCTTGGACCCACAAGAATCCAGAAACACGAGCAATCAATTTCCATGTTTTGCAAGCCATGCAATTACGGTATTTGGGTACAGAAGCCCGGGTAACTCTGACTCCTATAGACCTTACTAGACTCTTTTTGTCTGTTTTCTCTCTCTCTCTCTCTCTCTCTCTCTCTCTCTCTCTCTCTCTCATTGTCTCATTGAGTTTACTGGTACATTTTAGGTATACAGTACAGTTACATTTATCATTGGGATCTTGTACCTTTACATGACAGGTTCTCATTTTTTCCCCTTGTCCCTGCCCTCCCTTCACCCCCTCCTCCCCTCCCCATTTACAAACACTATATTTCCATTTTCTCATATTTTGACTCTTCTAATTTGACTCTCAAATAGTCAATTGACTTAATCGCATGTTGTTCCTTATCGCTTTCAAAGTATATTTCACAAAGCCGCCGTATTGAGCCAAATCTTTGAACCACTGCTTTCATATTAAAGTCCTCACACAAGAGGGTCACCATAATTTGCAAATTCATTTGAGATGCAATTCTCACGCCTGACAGGTCATGTGAGAAATTCTCCAAGTGGGGAGCGACACCTGTTTTGGAAGTGCTCTGTGTGATTCGAACGTGCACTTTAACTCTGAGAACTGTAGTTCTTCAACCCTAAAATTAGGACACGTGAACTCCACACACTTCACACTTCCAACCCTCACTGTTCATCTGTTAGGAAGAACCATAGTATCTCCACTCATCCAAACTCTTCAAGTTGATCATTTGGACTCTAGCTATATATCTTTATTTACCAAAACATTTGACTCCGAGCATCACACTTAATTTCTTGTCCCAGAAAATCCATTGTCCACTTTCTCTGATCTCTAACCTGCAGGCTTTCAAAGCAGACTGATGTTTTATTTATTTTAATATCAATAAAGTTCAATCACACTGCTTGGTAATGATAAATACCGAATAACAGCGGTTCTACTGTACTAAGGAAAAAAATCAGATAGAGCCTGGCCCCTGAAAGCTAGTACACTTAGCCAGGAAAAAAGTACGTACCTCGGTTCACAAACTTCATCTGTTCTATGATTTCTGGAAAAGATGAACACTTGTGTGTTTGTGTGGGAAAGATGGCCATAGCTGCATTTGCCTCCCATTGCAGACTTTGCAAACAAAACAAAAATTTTCCAAACATGTCTGTCTGTGGGTCAGATTATTCTTCACTGTACACAGTCCTAAGTGTACCATGCACTCCACCATCTTAGGAAATTCGGTGTCTTTCCTTTAGAGGCACTCAGAGCAGAATGAGTTATTTAGATGGCAGGCACATGGTTGAACTTTTCAACCTTCATGACTGCATGAGGGAATACTTTATAATACACATAATTTGTATGCTATTCGTTTTATTTCCTGACAGCTTTAACTTACATAATGAAATAATCCAATAGTGAATATTAAAAGAAAAAGAAAAGGATGCAGCTTAATAAAGCAGTGTTTCACCACTTCATTTAGCACTGGGATTGGTCAGACCACAGCCTGAGTTTCTGCAGTATGGAAGAAGGAAAGAATGGAAATATGATAGAACTCATATCATACAGTGTATCAGTCAGATTTTCTGTTACATGATACCGAAAACTGATAATTTAAAGGAGAAGAGATCTGATTTAGCTTATAAATTCCGAGGATTCAGTTCAAGATCAGTGGCTCCAAAACAAAAACTTCACGGTCGAAAAGTGTGGAAGAGCAAGGATGTTCTGCTCATGGTGGGCAGCAAGCAGAGCAGAGAGAGTACCAGGAAGAAAAGAGAAAGGCCCAGACATAGTCCCCAAATGTTTGCTTCCACGATCCAGCCAAGTACACGCAGAAGTGTGCTTTACTAACCCCCTCAATGACTCAAGCCAAAGAATTTAACAGAATCAACTTAATTAACACATAGAGAAACACTGTATTTCTTGAAGACAGTAAAGAGAGTGAATTCGGCATTTTTCTCTCGCTTCAATATGCCCTACAGCAGACAGACACTATTTGGGAGCTGGGTGTAGTGGTGCACACCTGTAAAACCAGCATTGGGAGGTTGACGCAGGAGGATCACCCTGAGTCCGAGGCCCTCCTGAGCTACCCTAGTGAGTTAAAGGCAGCCTGACCCTGCCTCAGATACACAACAAAACAAAGATATTATTTTGTTTTAGCACCCCCACCTTAGTTTTACCTCATAAGAGCAATATGAAAGAAAAAGATTAATATATTACATATTAAAATTTAATTTTCTAATTTTACTGGACAATTCATAAAATATTTATAACCTCCCCAAGTAGCCAAAACACATGGAAGTAAGGGAATATTTTCTAATCAAAAACAAAACTGAAGTTCTGAGTCTGACCGTGGATTCTAGTTCTGTTCTTGAGCCTACTCAGTAATATCGTCCTTATATTTGCATGTTGACAAAACATAGGTGACAAAACATATTATGTCTAACGCATGGTGTGTTTTAGCAGCACTATTCCTTTTTATGTAGGATTGTTATTCAGGACTAAATATAGGGCCAAAAAAAGAGGAAAAAAAAAAAAGCAATTTCTTCTCTATTGTTCCCAATAGGAAGTAATGAAAGATTTTTAAATCGATATACCTAAGATTCACGGGGTACAATTGATTAATTGTCTAAAGATGCAGCATTAATAGTTACAAAAGAAGTAAGAGCATTTCTAGAAAGAAATGCTTCCATTTAACATTTCAAGTTCAATTATCCAAAAAAAATTTAGTTTCGTAGTATACTACAGCAGGAGCCTTGACAGGAAAAACTGATTTTCAAATATTTCTTTTAGTAAGTTTGAAAAGTTGACAAGGACTATCAGAGACCAAACAGTTTGAATTAATAGAGGAGAATACAATTAAAGTAAATACAATTTATTTTTGATTTACAGATTTCACAGGGAAAGGTGCTTCAAAAATTAAGTGTGTAACAGTGAAGTAACTGATAAAAGTGGCAGACTGAACCCCTGGGAGAGCCACAGTGTGAAGATAAACTCGGGCAGCAGAAAAACCACTGGCTGCAAAGACTGATAATGACACAGACATGGCAAGAACAGCAGCAGGGCATGTGCGTATGGTGAGTATACAATACTTCTGTGTACAGGGTGGGGGATATTTTCCTCTATTTCTGAATACTCAGTTGACCAACCAGTCATCTGAAATAGTGCTTGTATTCTATAAATAAACCAACATCAACTAAAATCCATTGCCTTTGGGATAGAAACATTTCATATGTGGAATAAATTTTTTTACACCAGACTATATATTTCTCAGGCCTACTATGGATGAGAGAAACAGCATTCAAGTTCAGATGCCCAAAGTGGTGGGTGTGTGGGAAACACAGGATTCAGCGGTTGATTTGCTCAGGGAACATTATATTCGATTCAGTGTCCATTGTTTCTCCATACAGTTTTTCTTCATTTCCCTCCACATGGCTCTGACTGAGTGAAATCATAGGCAAAGCTTTAACATAAGCGACATTCAGGTTTACTCAGTGAGGTCATATAACACACTTCTTACATTTTTTTAATATTTGAAAACTCAAAATTTTAAGGCAAAATAATATGTGAGAAATTTGAAAAAAAATGACTGTGTACGAGTGTTACAGTTCTTGAAAATTAAAATATGAGTTTTAATCAAGCCTTGTCATGCAGATGTACAAGATCCCAACAATGAATGTAACTGCAATGTATCCCTAAAATGTACCAATAAACTCAATTAAAGGTGAAAAAACATATGAGTTTTAAAATAATGAGAATTGGAACTAGTGCTGAAGATAGGAATAATTGCAAGGATTATAATCCATATATATATATATATATATATATATATATATATGTAAAAATTTATGTATGGAATATTCTTATCTTTATACATTAGGAATAATTGCAGGGATTATAATCCATATATATATATATATATATATATATGTAAAAATTTATGTATGGAATATTCTTATCTTTATACAGTACTGTGGAAATCATCTTAATTTTTTAAAAAAACTAATGTATAAATTATACGTGTACATATGTGCATCCATGTATTCATGTTTATCGTCCTGCGTATATTATTTTGGTGTCTTGTTTTGAGTTGATTGGTATGTTCTCTCATTTTTTTTCTTTTATTGAGTTTATTGGTACATTTTAGGTATACAGTACAGTTACATTCATCAGTGGGATCCTGTACCTTTACATGACAGGTCTTGGTTCTCATTTTTTCCCCTTGTCCCCGCCCTCCCTTCACCCCTTCCCCCCTCCCCATGTACAAACACTTTATTTCCATTTTTTCATTTTCTCATATTTTTTTCTTTTCCCTTATTACCTTTCTCCTACCCTTCCCACTTTCCCTACACCCATAGCCCCTTTTCTTCCTATTTCACATGGTCAATTATCTCATTAGGAACTTATGTACTATTATAGCTTTTCACATCCGAGAAACTATTCGGTATTTAGACGTGTGCCTTATTTATTTCACTTAGGAGTATATCGTCAATATGTATACATTTTCCTATGAATGATATTCATTTTTTAAAACTTCTCTATTTAACTTTTGCTTTCATAGTCAGAAGTTATGTGTGAGTCCTCAGGACACAGTAAGGAGGAAGGAATTGAATGTTACACAAATAACCCGAGGAGACTGATTTAGGAGGAGAATGGCGGGCTCCCTGGGGAGAAAACGAAGATGCGTGTGATGGAGCATAGTAATGAGAAAGCTAAAATTCGGGTGGTACCATTTGTCACCTCATTACAATGTTTCCTTGCATTCAGTGTTTTGCCTACAACTCAACACTTCACCTCATAAATACTGTGGTCATGTTGCAGGTCAGATTATTTCTGGCAAGACCTATGTTGAAATTTTATTTTCTGGTACTTGTTAATGTGAATTTTTGGTAAATGAGGCCTTTACAGACATCATTAAGGAGCTGGTGAAGATGACGGATACCGCAGTAAGCATCCAATGTGGTCGGATAAGAAGAGAAGAGGAGAAGAGCACCCTTGGGACAGACACGTGAAATACGTGTGCAAGAAAAACGCTGCATGACAATGCAGACAACGGAGTGATGTTTCTATAGGATCAGGGTTTACAGCCACACCGGAAGCTAAAAGAGGAGCTGGGAAAGCAACAGCACAGTTCTGCCCCGGCCACAAGGGTTTTTGTTTTGCAATCTGTGGTCTGAATTTTCACCATTACTTTTTCTCTCTGGTGACTTTTTCCATGGGCAACTTCCCCTTCGTCTTCTGTAGTATCATGCACTTGATTCCAGGATCAACAAAAGATAGCAGAATTATTCTACATAAGATATTATATATGTATTGCCAAGTGAGTCACAATGATTTAATAAGGATGATCATAAGTTTCAAGTACACGCATATTAAACAATGACTAGCCTAACTCTGGTTAAGAGATCAAACTAGGGAGAACATGCAAAAATCCTGTATCTCACAGAAATGAGGAAGGAAAAAATCTAAATATTATTTGTAAAAAAAAACTTTGTAACTCCTAAGACTGGTAGATGGAATAGCTCAATAATTAACTGAATTATAAAGAAGGACACAGCTTTGACAATCACAGGACGGACGATAATCAGCTGTCAAGGTACACCTAGCACCAGACCCACAGCTGTGGCTACAGGACCTGCCGTAGACAGGATGATGGTCGGATAAGAAGAACCAGACCAAGACTTCCAATGCAGTGACGGACAAAAGAGATCAAAGGGTATAGAAATCAAAACACGGAAAAACATCTTAGAGCTTGTTGATTCACATTCCATTTCCTAGAAGTCTTTAGATAAAGGGCAGAACAGAAAGATTCATATCCAAACAATATTCACACCTTGTGTTGTTTTTTTTTTCTTTTTGGGGGGCAGTTAATATTATGAGGTCTTTCGGGATTTTAACAGAAATTGAAGGGAAGGAAGGGGAATGGGGAAAAAATAAGAACCAAGATATATTATATAAAGGTACAAATATCCAATGATGGATGCCACTATATTGAATACCTACTACATTCCAATAAAAAAGAAATTGAAACAGAGTATTGGAAAATTATTCCATCTACTCTCACAGCTCACAGCCACTTAGGAATGCAATCCCTTTAGAGACTGAGTTTCGATCTCCTCCATCTCGATGTTGCAGGGTTCTGAATGATCAGCAGCAAACTGTCTCACAGAAGAAGAGCTCTTATTCTCTGAAAAATTAAAAGAAACAAAATATTTCTCATTCTAGCCTTTTCAGCCATGGGTTCTGAGTACAAACAAAAGTCATCCAGATAGTGAGGAAGGAGTAACAACAGTGTGGCCAGCAAAAATAAGGATTAGAATAACCATTAATACTTGAAGCAAATGCTGGGATTAGCAGATTAAGGTTTCAAAGCAGTTGGGTAAATATGCTACATAATTCATAAGAAAAATAACCACAATAAATCTAAAATACTATGCAACTGAAAAGGTATATTCCAAAAATAACTGAACAGAATAGAGAACAGAGAAAACAATGACTTGAGAGGAATAATTTCAATAGGAAACTGAGCAGTGGAGAAAAGCCGACTGGATGCAGGCAAAAATATGATCATTAAATTGAAAAGGGCTCAAAAATTACCCAAATATAAAGCCTAGCATCGAAATACAAAACATATTTAATAAAATAAGCATAGTATCATTAGCCTGTGGAATGTCAACTAATACAAGGTTTTCTTGGTGTTTCAAAAGGAGATTTATAAGAAATTGAGAAAACACATATTTGAAGAAATAATGGTCACATTATTTCACAAATTTTATCAAAAATGTCATCGCACAGACTCAGAAAATCCAATAATTTCCAAGTGGGAAAACTTCAAGTCCAGCCATCCAATCAACTAATAGCACTCTGAGCTCTTCATATATTGCTAAGAATCAATGAAACGGATGGATAATTTAAAAGTGGTTCAAGGCATACTACATGTAATAATAAGAATAAGAATAAGAGAAGAATAATAAGAATGACAATATCCTGATGAAGCCACAAGATAGTAAAGTAGCATTTTAAACATGTAAGAGAAATAAATTAAAATGCAGCAGTCAAATTCTAGAACTCTCTAATCAACAAAATATCCCTTAAAAATAAAATTGACAAAAACACATTTTCAAAAAATAAGAACATGCTGATAGGAAAACTACTAGAAAATGTTAGGGCTAAAGAAAAATTGATAACAATGCAAATCAAGATTGACAGAAAGAAGTATAAAGTTACAAAAATATTAAATATGCCCAAATATAAAATTACATTTTTTATTTTCATAATTTCTTTGAAAGATAAATGGTGGCTTAATACATAGTAACTGTGTTATGCCATGAGGTAGACATTATGTGGACACAGTGACACATGCCTGTAATCCCAGCACTCGGGCGGCTGAGGCAGGAGGATCGCTGTGAGTTCTAGACCAGCCTGGGCTACATAGTGAGTTCCAGGTCAGTCTCAACTACATAGTGAGATCCTGTTTCAAACAAACAAACAAACAAACAAACAAACACAATCAGTAGAATAGGGTAAGCTGAAGCACAATGTGAGTCTTTAACAACTATGTGAGGTGTACATTTTAGCCAGATTAGCTAAGGGGAGCTATTGCCATCTGATTAGCAACCATTGAAAGAAAACTTAATAGCAATCTGCAGCTTGTTTCAAAATGGCTTTGACTTTGAGACAGCAGATTAGAGGATATGTTATTAGCTGTTAAGGTTGTCACACTAGGGATTATGAATGAATATAGTACTTTCACTCGTTATGATTAAGGTCTGCATTTCTAGATTTTAAAGGATTCACTTGTTTTAGGAATTCACTTGAGCAGATTGTGTACGTACGTGATTGATTTGAGAGCCGCCCAGGAGATAGGTCTGGGCCTGTCCAGGTGAGTCACGAAAGCACAACCTTGAGTTCTTCATCTCTTCCTGGCCCCTTCCTCTCTGCAGCTGTTTCCAGCTCTGCCTCCCAGCCACCATGAAGGGAGCAATTTCTCCCATCACACCTTTCCACAGTCAAGTTCCTACCTTGAACCCAGCTGACCTTCAACCGAATGCCCTGAAACCATGAGAAAAATAAACCCTGCCTCATTTGTGTGTGTGAGGTATTTGGCTCTAACCAGGAAAGCTGAGTAATACAGGGTTATTGTGAGCTTAATACTGTGATAAATTGGTGGAATAGTAAACCAAACACACCAAAGCAAAACAAACACGTATGAGTACCAGGCACCAAATTTCCAAGTAAATTTAGATTTCAGCTTTGTTGAAAGTAAAAATGAAAATAGTGAGACAAAGAGAGATTCTTTCAACTTAGATAAAAAGGAATAGCTAAGTAAGGATAGGAATGTGAAAATTGTTCTTTTGTTTTAGGCAATGATTTCAGGAAACTTGATGGCTTGGAGGAGGAGACTAGGAAAAGAAATGGTTGTTTTAATAAGAAAGAGTCCGTGATCAGAATTGTAAACCGTCAACCTCACTGAATACGTACCTTTCACTTTCATCCCATTTGTGCTTCTTCATTCCTTGTTTTTCCTTGAAGTGTTTTCTTTTTTAAAATAGTGTTCTGAATACTAACCCCATGTCTATTTTCAGGATTTGAATAATTTTATGAATGGCAGCATCCAGGAGTATATATGCCTATTACCATATTATTCACTATCTACACATCAAGAAATTTGAGCCATTCAATTCCCTTCTACAGGTTTTGAGCATTTAAATGTAAAAGTGAGATAAGAAAGAAGACAGCTGAGAAACAGGAACCATAAACAGGTGTGCTAAATACACAAAGCCTGATCTTGGCAGTCCCTGTTTTTAAAATTCCGATAAGAAAAGAACAAAGAAAAAAAATATCCAAGAAAGCTAATGAATGAAAAACAGATTTAAATATCAATCAAAAACTAGGATCGTTTTCCTTAAAAATAGGGCAGGGACAAGGGGAAAAAATGAGAACTAAAACCACCTGTCATGTAAAGGTACAAGATCCCAATAATGAATGTAACTGTACTGTATATCTAAAATGTACCAATGAACTCAATAAAAAAAAAAAAACCTCATAGTTTGTTAATGTATAAACTTATCAAAATGTTATGTTAATATTATGACAATTACTCTTAAAGTAGCAGACTAATCAATTTACACTCAAAATAAAGTTTGGTATGTCCACAGTTCAACTCAGATGTCCTGTAAATACTCTAAATATTTATCTTTTAAGCCACTGTAAAAGTATACATATATAATAATACACTATATGCCATATGTGATATAATATATACACCCTATATAATATTGTATAATATATATAATATATGGTATATCATGAAGTACTAACTTCATTTTAAGACAGATAATTTCCGAGAGGTGTGAAAGACTTTTCTTGATAACCAAATATACTTTGGAGGCAGCAAAGATATAAACTAGATGACTCCGGGGCCATGAAAAGAAGCTTTACTCCTAAAAAGGGACTTCTGGAACAGATGCAAAAGCAGATCGATGAGATTACATCTCAAGTGAGAGAAGAGAAAAGTCCTCCTTTCCTTTGGAATAGGGACTCAGAATAGAACCTCCATGTTCCATATCACCATGCAGACTGTCACCATATGGACAGCAGTGCAAGGACACCGAAGAAGTGATTTATAACTGCAGTGTGTAAGTCTCTGAGCAAAGAGACTCAGTCCCTTCATAGAATATATTTTCAAGAGTTCATTTATTTGTGTGTGTGTGAAATTTTATGATTTATATTTCCTCCTCTTGAAAAATTTCTTGGAAATAATCTTCCTGGTTATAGTTCCCTATAATTCTGAATTTCAGAGAAATACGTCTAAGTTATCCCATAGCCCTAGTGCTGTGAACACTGGTAAATAACCTAACTTGATGGAGAAAAGATCAAATAAAAAGGAAATGCTATTTTTACTATTTGTGCATAATAAAATATCTTCAAGTTATTCCGTAAGGATTCTGACACCTTACATTAAAAACTTACCAGTCTGTGGAGGTTCCATTTGACCCAGCCATCCCTCTGCTGGGTATCTTTCCAAGAGAACTAAAAGAATCATATCACAGCGAACTATGTGCACCCATGTTTATAGCGGCACAGTTTGTAATAACTAAAACTTGGAAACAGCCCATTTGCCCATCCATTGGAAATTGGATAAAGAAGTTGTGGTTTTTATATAAAATGGAATATTACTCAGCCATAAAGAACGAGAGAATAAATTCATTCATAGGAAAATGGATACATATTGAAGATATACTCCTAAGTGAAATAAATAAGTCACACATGGGTAAATACCGAATAGTTTCCCTGGTGTGAATAATCTGCAGCAATGCATAAGATTCTAAAAAGATTACTGACATTGAGAAATGGGAAGAAAGGAGCTAAAGGTGTAGGGAAGGTGGGATGGGTAGGGGAGGAGTAAAA